AATTTGTTGGAGAAGAAAAATAAATAAAATATTTATTTTAAGGGTAAATATGTCCATGTAACATTTTAGGAGGGAAAAGAGCCACTTAAATAATTCAGAGGTGAAACGTGCTATAAGTATATAACTCAGGGAAAAAAAGTGTCATTTTCCCTTTTGTAAATAAGCAGCGGAAAGCACGAGGCGTATCAAGGCTTGATCTGAGTCAGTCTCAGAATCCAATAACATTCCATTCCACAATGCAAGTATGTATGAATAAAACCGGTGGAATCTATGAGCAATAATATAATACTGTGTGCCTGTCGTTTTTCATTCATGGCTCACCTTCCTATGAACCCAACCCCACTTTCACTTTGTGTCAGTGTCTTGTTTGAACGAGAGTTGCGTGAAACTTTGACCAGTCAAATGATCACTACATCTCTCCTACTCAGTACTGATCCCAACGCATGCAATTAGGCATGCATCATGTACCTTGCTGACTTAATTGGTCTCCTCTTGTTGCCCGGCCACCCCACCATCAGGGCTGCTTTTTAGATTTTTGTGATTGATAAATAAATGAGGCCTACCAAAATCACAATTTTTAAAATTAATATAATAATAATAAGGTGGTAAAATGTTACTGTACACAAAAAAGAAGTCAAAAGATATATTATTGAATAAATTATTATAATTATAACAATAATAATAATAATAGTGTGTGCAAACTCGCAATGCAAAAGGATTAAAAAAAATAAAGAAATGTCCAAAACTGGAGGACCACACAAGTTTTAAACCTTTAACTTCCAAGTCAAATACAATAAACACACATTCCTACCATTTCTTCATGAAGACTTTTAAGGCTAATTGAAAACTTTTAATGTTTATTTCTAAACTAGCTAAGTAAAAATTAAATATTGGACCTCTAAAATTTGGGTGGTCCTCTAAAACTTAGGGCCCTGTGCGATAGCCCAGCTTGCACAGTCCACAATCCGGCGGCCTGCCCACCACACATAGATTGCTTCACACACTGAAGAACACTACTACTATACAAAACATAGTTACTAAGGCGGTTTTTTTGACACATACACGGCGGTTCTTGAAGTGTCGTGTAAGTGGCCGCCTTTGTAAATAAATATTTTTTACGGTGATTTTTTGAACCGCCGTCTATGTTACTTATATACGGCGGTTAACAAACCGCCGTATAATCTAAACAAGCATGCCATCTATCTGTACTTCATACTACAGTTCTAGATAGAACCGCCGTAGAAAGTATTTTTTAACAATAAAAATACAAGTATAGACGGCGGTTATTTTGAAGAACCGCCGTCTATACTTGTACTTTAATATACTTTATACGGCAGTGCTGGGTAGAACCGCCGTATAAAGTATTCTTTTACAATAAAAAATACAAGTATAGACGATGGTTATTTTTAAGAACTGCCGTCCATACTTGTACTTTAATATACTTTATACGGCAGTTCCGGGTAAAATTGCCGTATAAAATATTTTAAATTTTTATTTTTATTAATTTGGAAATTTATAAATCTTCAATATAGAATACAATAAAAAGCTGTTCAATAGCATCAAAATGCATACAACAATTCAACATACTTTTAAACATAAAAAAAAAATGATATAATCAATTCTAGGTATTGAGACTATTCCGTTGTTTGGTGGCATGCTTCTGCCTCAACAATGGTACATGAAGGATATTTTAAAATGAGCAGGTATGGTTGATTGCACCTGTAGCCACCCCGGTTTCAACCGCGAAGGCCGGGACCGGTGCCGTGGTGCCGTATGTTGATCCAACTCAGTATCGCAGCTTTGCAGGTGCTTTGCAATATCTTATGGTAACTCGTCCTGATCTCTCCTATGCAGTCAATCGTTTGTGTCAGCACATGTACTCTCCCTCTACTGCGGATTGAGCGGCTCCCAAGAGGGTGTTACGGTATGTAAATAAGACACTACATCTCAGTCTTAAAATTACTCCTTCTTCCTCTCTGGATATTCATGCATATTCTGATTCGGATTGGGCTGGCAATCCTGATGATCGAAAATCTACTATTGGTTTTGCTATATTTTTGGGGACCAATCTTGTCTCATGGGTTTGTCGAAAGAAGCGTACTGTGGCTCGTTCCTCAACTGAGGCAGAATACAAAGGACTCGCTGATGTTTCTGCAGAGGTTACTTGGCTTGTCTCTCTGATGAAGGAACTCGGGTTTGCGCCACCTTCTGCGCCCAAACTTTGGTGTGATAATCTGGGTGCTACTTATCTATGTGCTAATCCGGTGTTTCATGCTCGCACCAAACACATTGAGATCGACTACCACTTTGTTCGTGATAAAGAAGCAAAGAAGGAATTACAAGTCAATTTTATTTCTACCAAAGATCAGATAGCAGATATCTTTACTAAGTCTCTTTCGTTTGTACGTTTTAATTTACTCCGTTCCAAGCTCAATGTTTTGGCTGACCAAACTACTTGTGCTTGAGGGAGAGTATTAGGACTCTATTATTCATATTAGACTAGGACTATATTATTCGTGTTAGACTAGGATTCTATCTAGCATATCTATATATTCGCTCCCTGTACTCTCAGACATTATTCATTAAATACAGAAAATATATTCTCATCATTCTGTCCCACATACGTTGATCATTTTCTTCAATTAATTATTCTAAACCCTAATCCCATATACATATTCTCTTTCTCTATTTTGCCGGACTTGACTTACTAGTTCAGTAGGATGTATTTGAAGACAAATTGTACTGTGGATCATGGTCTATGTAGTAATGTGGTCCATAAAGTAAATATCATTCTAATTACACTTTAATTTTATTTGACAATATTGTTCTGATTTTCAGTTTCATTTTCCACACTCACTGGTTTCATTATAACAATACCAAAGTATCATTTTAATTCTATTACAGTTTCATTTGACAATATACATTATTGTTGAGCTCTATTTTGTTGTTTCATTTTTCACACACTAGTTTAATTATAATAATGCTAAAGTATTATTTTAATTACACTCCACGTTCATTTGATAATATATGTTATTGTATGGTTCTGAATTTTAGTTTCATTTTTTACACAAACTAGTTTCATTTTAACAATATTAAAATATCATTTTAATTATACTACAGTTTCATTTGACAATATACGTTGTTGAATGAACTCTGTTTTTTAGTTTCATTTTTCACACACTAGTTTCATTTTAACAATACTAAAGTATCATTTTAATTCTACTATAGTTTCATTTGATAACCATGATTTACATAGCATTATGAACCATGATGATTCACAGTATAACAACTCGTATTTAAGAAAAGAGAGCAAGGTCCGAACCTCAAGAGTGACAAATATAGAATTACTCTACGGTCAACAATTTAGGACAAAATTCTTTAACATGGTCTACACTCTGCACCAACCTAAAACAATCATCTAACCTTGTATTTATCTCATTATGTGATAAAAGTCAATAATGAGTGTATGTTTATTGGATGGAATATTGTATAGTCTATTGATGAAGTGTAGAGTAGTAGACTAAATGTTTGTTAGGCCTCTAATCACGTAAGTAGAATAATTAGACCTAAATTATTGTTTGGATATGGGAAAGTTGCATGGTGGCGTTAGATTCCCATCACAGCAGAACTACTATACTATACTGGGTCTCATTCCCATCAGCATTCTGTTGATGTCTAGTATATGTAGGCCACCCAAAGAGGGTGAAAAATCGAAGAGAGATATATGCATGCACGCATCCCGGTACACCAATATTTTGTAATCATATACGCACTCACCATTTTCTCTCTCTCTCTCTCTCATGCAATATAGAGAGAGAAAGAGAGAGACAGACAGACAGAACCAGGGAAGAAGGAAGAAGAATCTCTCTCGGTCTGCATATATATATATATATATATATATATATATATATATATACTCCCTCCGTCCCGAATTGGTTGTCTGATTTGCTTTTTGCACGCTTTTTAATGAATTAAAGTAATTGCTATGTATTTTCCAATTATGCCCTTCACTTTTTCACTTTTGAAAATAAAAGCAAAAGTCATAAGGGTAATTTGGGAAAAAGTAGAATGATGATTATGTTCAATTTTGGAAAGAGGACAACATTTTGGGACAAACTAAAAAGGAAAGTAAGACATGCAAAATGGGACAGAGGGAGTATATATATATATATATATATATATATATATATAGAATCCGGATCAGGTGAGGACCTAATCTTAGGTGAGGACGTGAGGACTAATCTTGTGCGTTTGTTTTTTTTATTTAGATGGTCCAGATTTGAGTTCTTGAGATGACATGGATTGATCTTTTTTGTTAAAGTGGGATAATAGTGTCTTTTTCTATTTTTTTTTAAGTGTGAGCGCATGTATAATCCTTAGCCAAATTGGTTTCCTATTTTCTTGGATCATCACCGTTGCAATTTGGAGCCGCGATTTCTTCATAATTGATTGAGTGTTCGCCCATGCAAACTAATCAGTATTTTTTATTTTTTTTCGCTTGTTCTTTTGAGTATAATATTGTCTATATTTGGATTGTCGTGTATATGTATAAATGCCTGGGTAGTACGATTGTGCATTCGTGTGTGTTGATTGTGCAACCTAGTGTTGTAAGTTGTGCACTATAGGCTAGGGAGTTGTGCATTATAGCACATAGTTCAATGCATCGTAGAACATTGGATGTTCACTGTATGATTTTTTGGCGGGGTTTGAATGCACAACAATGAAGTTATTGATGCACAACACTCAATATAGAAATGCACAACATTTTATATAGGAATGCACATCTTTTAATAAGACTGATTTACCCTAAATTTATATATTTTAATATTTTAAAGGGATTTGTTTTCTTAATCCGTGTGATTTATTTCTTTTAATCTCAATCATACATCATTCTGATTTAATGATCTAGATTAGTCCTCACGTCCTCACCTAAGATTAGGTCCTCACCAGATCCGGACCCTATATATATATATATATATATATATATATATATATATATATATATATATGTATCAGGTTGGAAGCTAAGACTGCAAGTCTGCAAGAGCGTCATTAACCCCCTTCATCTGAGATATTCATATTCATATATAATCACATCTCTTCTGGAACCCAATCCTTCAAAAGCTTTCAGGTATATATATATATATATATATATATATATATATATATATATATATTCTTCACTCCTTGAATCCCTTTCTTTGATTTGTTTCTACCATTGTTACAAAGGAAGAAGTGGAAGAATACATTTCTCGGTTTGAGCCAATCAACTATTGATAATTTATATTGGTTTATTTCATTATAATTTTTTGCTAATTAGATTCACAAATAATTGTTTACATCTTTTTTGGATAGTTTAAACTTGTTAGTTATATATAAACAACTTAAATTGATTTTTTTGATCTTTTTTGCTAATCCCTTTCTTTGATTTGTTTCTACACACCAATCGTTACAAAGGAAGAAGAAAGAATATAATACTTTTTTTGGTTTGAGCCATTCAATTATTAACTATTTAATTAGGTGGAATTGGTTTATTTCATTATGGTATTTTGCTCGTTAGAGTCACACTATTGTTCACAGTTTGAGCTTGCTAACCAGCTAGCTATGGACAACTTAAACTAGTTGGTTTATTTTCTTTTTTACAAATTAAGATCATAAGACAGTATACATACATCTTCAGATAGTGGCTGCTAGTTTAATCTGTTACTCAAAATAAAATAATAAAGAGAATTTAGGTGGTCTAATATTGTTTGGAATTTGCAGGGCGGGAATTGAAATGGCATCTGCACAGACACTGGAAAGCATGTTGGTTTGCAGAAAAGCAGAGCAGCAAGAGAAGAAGGCGAAGGCGGCATGTGCAGATGAGCAATCTGCATTGAAATGCCCAAGGTGCGATTCCACCAACACAAAGTTCTGCTACTACAACAACTACAGCCTATCTCAGCCCAGGTACTTCTGCAAGTCCTGCTTCCGCTACTGGACCATAGGCGGCACCCTCCGCACCGTGCCCGTCGGCGGAGGCTGCCGGAGAAAGAAGAGATCGTCTTCCCGGGCGGCTCGAACTAACCAAGACCCATTATTGTCTTCACTCACCTCTAGGCTCTAGCCCCATTCATCACCCGCCATTGATGATGCCCTCCCTCACCACCCAGCTGCCTTATGTATGACAGGCCAATCATCTTTAACAACAACGTTAACCCCAATGATACTATTTTGTTTGTTATATTCTTTTTTATTTTTATTTGGAATATAAGGGTCAAATAGACCACTCAAGTGCACACCAACATGCAATTAAACCATCCAACTCAAAAAGAATGCAATTGAGTTCTTGAACAACACAAACTTATGCAATTTGACCCAAAATTTACTTGTTTACCTTAATAGAAGGTTAATAATTTAAAAATAATTTTTTTAACAATACTTTTTAATTAAAATAAATATTTAAAAATAAAAAATAAAAAATAAAAAAAATAAAAACCGCCGGAGACAAAGAAGTCTTCGTCTCCGGCGGGTCCATTCTTCTCCTGGCCGGAGACGAAGTTACCTTCGTCGTCTCCGGCCATGGGGACGAAGGGACCTTCGTCCCCAGGCCATGGAGGCGAAGGTCTCTTCGCCTCCATGGCCGGAGACGAAGGTACCCCATAGCCGACGATGAAGGTACCTTCGTCTCCGACCATGGAGACGAAGAGACCTTCGTCTCCATGGCCTGGGGACGAAGGTCCCTTCGTCTCCATGGCCGGAGACGACGAAGGTAACTTCGTCTCTGGCCAGGAGACGAAGGGACCCGCCGGAGATGAAGACTTCTTCGTCTCCGACGATTTTTATTTTTAATTTTTTTTATTTTAAATATTTATTTTAATTACAATTATTGTAAAAAAATTATTTTTAAATTTAGTAACCTCCTATTTAGGTGAACAAGTAATTTTGGATCAAATTGTATAAGTTTGTGTTGTTTAGGAACCCAATTGCATTCTTTTTGAGTTGAATGACCTAATTGCATGTTGGTGTCCAGTTGAGTGGCCTATTTAACCCTTATTCCTTTTTATTTTTAGGTGATCGAAGAAACCACAACAACTATCTATCTGAGGGTGTCGTTAAAGGACCAGGTAAATAGACCTCGTCTCTTAATTGGTTGAGGTTACTCCTTGTTTGTTATATTCTTCAATTAGACTATCTAGAAGATTAGGTCGGGTTTATTTCAATTCTGGTTTTCAATTTTTCTTGAGTTAATTCCAGCAAAGGTCCTCTGACTATAGTGATTTTCCACATTTGGTCCTCGTATAATTTGGACGAATTAAACCCTTGACTATCATAATCTTTCCATCATTGGTTCTTCCGTCAACTCACTGTTATTTTGCCGTTAAATTAAAGGGTAAAATGGTCCTTACATATACTGAGTGTCTTCTTCCTCACTGTTGGTCCAAATCTGTTGCACTGTTCTCCCCTTTCTTTGCCTTTACCAAAAGCTCCTTCCAAAGGCAAAATGGCACCAGAAATGTATATCTACCTTCCCACATCACTAGATTGGAGGGATCAATTTTGACAATAATTTAAAAAGCTGTGAAAGTAAATATTTAAAAAATAATAGTGAGGGAACAAATGTATATCTCATAAAAACTCTTTTTTAGGCAAGTACCGAAAGTTGCCATCTCCGATCAGTACTATGTTCCATTTCTTCTTACCAATCTCTATATATTCTCTGTACACTCCCTCCTTGACATATATGGCGTAGCGGCGGGAGCTGAGTTCGGGGGCGACGGAGATGGCGTGTTTGATGGAGGTGAAATTCCCGGTGCCGTCAAGCGCCACCACAGCATCCGCCACCACCACATTGGACTGTAGAATTCTCCGGTCACGAGATTTTAGCCAGGAAGGGAATTCTGCTCTAAGCTTCCTGCCTTGAAACTTGGGGCCGGGAATGGGGCGTACCATGGCTAGAACGTTGCGGATGGAGGAAGCTATCTGGTTTAGGCTTCCGGCAACCAAATTCTTGATCAGATCATCGGTGTCGTCGAAGCCTTCAATGTAGGTGTCTTGATTGATCATCGCCCGCTCAACCACGCCCTTAAATCAGCACTCAGATTGCCCGTGTTATTGTTCTTTTACCTGTGAACAATGCAAAAAATAAATTTAAATGAAATTGATCCAATGTAACTTTTCGATTATCTAGACAACTACATCTAATCTAATTAATATTAAATTCTAAGAAACGGTAGATTGAAAAACATATATACCATTATGATTCTGAGATGCAGAGAGGGTGGAGGAGAGTTCATCAGCAGAGAGGTCAAGCAAATCAAGGCAGTTGGAGACGGCATTAGAAGCCTAAAATCTCCAAAAACATTGCCCACTTTTGCCACCACAGGCGTGACCTGCTGGACAACGTCGATGGTGGTCTTCACAGACCCCACGAAATCCGATGCAGAAACCTTCAAAACCTCCACCGCCGCCGCCGCCGGCGGATCAAAACCTACTCTGCCGCTGCCGGACAGATTACACAAACACAAGATTACCGGAAACAAGCAGGCAGACAAGGAATGAACCATTTCAATTCCGATAGATAATAAATTTTAGCACAAAACGCAGATAGAGCGAAATGGAGCACTTAAACTGGGGATCCCTTAAACTGATGAAAGAAGTCATGAAAGAAGTCCACCCTGAGGAAGAAGACACTCAGCATATGGAAGGACCATTTTACCCCTTAATTTAACGGTAAAATACAGTGAGTTAACGGAATGACCAATGATGGAAAGATTATGATAGTCAAGGGTTTAATTCGTCCAAATTAAAAGACGGGGACTAAATGTGGAAAATCACTATAGTCAGAGGATCTTTGCTGGAATTAACTCATTTTTCTTTCATCCTTCTCTATTTATGAAATTGGGTAAATGTACCAAGTAAATGAATTTTCTATCTTTCTTTTTTCCGACCAATGGAGAGTTTTTATAATTTGTAAAATCATTCTTAATCTTGCTTAATTAGCCTGTCCCATTTTCTTTAATTTAGAATGGCTCCTCTCATTAATTGACCAGCTAATGAATTTCACCTTTGTAACATAAGTGGTACCATAGCTAGATATTCCAACTTTGCATATTGAATGACAATTCATTACGCCTATTAATTTATCAAATTGCAAAATTTTCATGAAGTTTTTTTCGACATCTATCTACGTGGGCAAGATTTATATAATTAGGTTAGTTTATTACTTTATTTTTTAAAAAATAAGCAAAAACTTATTTTACTGTAAATAAAAATAATTCATATAATATTTCGTGATTTTATTAGTGAAAAGAATTTAAATAAGATTTCGGGAGGATTTTTGAATCATTAAATTTATTTAATTAAAATGTAGGGATCCAAATCATCCAATTCTACCAAAGAAATTAAAATTTTGAAAGGTAAGGATTTGGTCTTGTTGTGAGCATTAGTATATAAGTATTTGAGGGTTTATATACTAGTTAAAGTACATTCTACGATTTATTTTCTCTACCTATTTCTAGAGGAGGAGCGATGATGAATACTTAAAATTGTAGTTTAAACTTATAAAATTAGTTTGATAAAATTAGAAGGATTACTCTCTTTTTTTTTTTTTTTTTTTTTGGGAGGGGGAGAGGGGGTGTCATTTGGTTATTTATTATTATCCAAAAAAAAAAAAAAAAAAAGAGAAGTTGACGGTAAATATGTTACCGGATAAAAATATTATAATAGCAGAATAATGAATTGTTATATTGTAAGTGTTGTGAGTACAGAATATTGAACGTGTCCCCTCCTAGTTAAGGGGAGTTCCATTTATACTAGGCCCTAACGGTAACAACGTAGTGGGGCATAAATGGGGAGCTGAGGCATTATTTCTCTCCCTTCAATGATGGCAATAAGTGGCAGTAAAGTCACCACCCGTTGGTGTTCTGCCCGTTGGAATTCTGTCCGTTGGGTTTCCACGTGGTGCCCGGTCAAGTGCCTGTTGATGATCCGGGTCGAGTGCCAGCACCATTATCCTGTCACCAGCCCCCCTACTCCCGAGTCAACGGATGTGCTTGAGTTGGCTTGGAAATAAGACTGAATTTGCTTGATATTGTACAGAATCCCGGTTGATCTGGGTATGTGATTTTATTTTCCAAATCACTGATATGTGATTTTATCTTCCAAATCACCATGATTAGGCTTCCAAATCCTTTACTGCTTCTAAAACATATACTTTACTATTTTATAATAGGTCTCTCTCCAATATAAACCCCGTCCTTAGAGTAGTTTGAGCACCTCTCCATCAGCTTCTGTCACTACTCTGTAAGTTCCCCTGTTTCTTTATTATTTATTTATTTATTTTTATTATATATATATATATATATATATATATATATATATATATATATATATATATATATATATATATATATTCTTTTTTTTTTCGAACGACCCTAGGCCGACCTCGGGCCTCAGCTGCCGACCTCACCGCGTTCCTAACTGATACTTAGAATTCTTTCTTAACTCTGATTCTCGTACTTAGTCATTGAATTTAGAGTCTTCCTCATCTCAATTTTCATAACTTAGGGCTCTTTTCCTAATCTTATCCTTCCTTTGATTTCCACTTAAGGTTCTCTTCTTAACTTGTCTTTCTTAAGACTTCAACTTAGAGGTCATTTCCTTAACTTGTCCTCCCTAGGACTTTTACTTAGAGTTTCTATACTCAATCTTATGGGTCAAACTTCCTAAGTCTCCAGCGGTTCGTACCGCTCTGATACCAATTTGTAACACCCCACTTTTTCTAAAACTTCATTACAATTCTAATCCATAATTAACATAACTAAGCAGCAGATAAAAAGATAACTAGTGGGAATGTCATTGCCACAACCACCACTCCTTAGTAATTGCACAAGCTAAGGGTAGTACTAGAAAAACAAATAAATAACTAACCATCAATCAACTTAAATAAGCATAAGGGGGATAAACACACCCCAATGTCTACATCATCGAAAAATAACAAAATATCATAAGTCTAACATCCGATAGATAACGACATTAAACAAGACATAAAGAGTTTATACATCTCAATCTAAAAGACTAGTCTAACTCGATCACTTCTCACTGCTGGGCCCACCTGAAAGGGGTTTTACAAGCAACACATAGACAAATAGGAAAAAAATTCGTTAGCACGAAGCTAAGTATAACCACACTCAACCCTGTAAAGTACTATAGATTATAGAATATACTTTGGAAAACATTTGATAATATTCGTATGCAAAAAATTCATCTCATAGGCAACTTTAGTCATATCACATACTTCTATATGCTAGCAACCTATAAAATCCACGGGCATGCTTCGATACGAAAGACTTAACAACTTAGATATTTCAACATATAAATGTCACAACACAATTATCAAGCAACTCATGCTTACAAGTAATATCATGCTAATAAACCATACGAAAGTTATTCTCATGCTCTTAAGTTCTCACCAAATAACTGAATATGCAAGACTTCAAATGTAACTAATCAATCATACTCGATATACAATTCTTAAATCAACATTCTCGTTATGCAATCTCAGGCAATACTCTACTCACATGCAATCTTGTACAATACTATACTTGTAACACCCCGTGTTACGATCCCTAAAATCAATTAAATCATTTAATCAATTACCCAAAAGAAAGAATTAAATCACAAGAATTAATTAGGAAAGGCCCACCATAGTCCACGGGCCCTTATCCCTAAACCCAATCCTTAGTCCTAAAAGAAATAGAATTAGCAAGCCTATAATATTAGTTCCTAACTAGGACTCCTAAATATATAAATAGGGGACTTAAGAGGCACCTAGAACCCCCCACCACAATAAACGTCCCACCACCCCAAAGAGCTCCAAGAATTCCCTTAGAAGAAATCAAGAAAGCAGGAAAGCTTAAAGAAAGACCCTTCATAGCCAAGGAATTAATTAAGGCTAAGAGGTAACCCATGTCTCAACAAAACCTATTTTCATAGCTATGATTCCCCTCTTAGGATTTCCCCATATTATTGTGTATTGATTATTTGTGATATTATTATTGATGATTGGTGGGATGATTCCATGGGTGATTTTGATGAGGAGAGGTTCTTGATAATTATGGTGTTCTTGATGACTATATGACGTTCTTGATAATTACATGGTGTTCTTGATATTCTTAATGATTATATGAGGTTCTTGATAGTTATATGATATTCCTACCGAATCTTGATTTTGAAAGATGAATTGTGTTCTTGTTGATTTAAAAATAATTAGAACCCTAGGTTATATCGTGGAATTTGTATGGTATTATTCTTGGTATATTTGGGCGGGATTTCGCATGATTGGGTGTTTATTATGTTTAGAAAAGCATGATAGGTTATGTGCCGTTTGTTTCTTGATTTCGATCCGTTAATTGTCTACGTGTGTTATCAATTGCGTTTGAAAGTGTCTAAGCATGGTTTCGGGTTCCACAAAGGTTCCCGGGGCGTTTTTGGTGAAAAGAGTCAGTGGGGGGTAGGGGACCCGCCACCTACCCGCGGCCAAAAAGAGGAGCTCCGGCAGCGGGCAGCTGCCCGGAACAGTAAATACCGGCGGGTGAACCCCCACCCACCGGCTACCCGCTGGAAATTCCCACCCTTCGGGACCCCGGCTTCCCCGTTTGATGTTCCCCCGACCCCGTGGTGTCCCAACGGACTCCGTCTATCGTGTCTATGTCTAGTTTGATTTTCGGGTACCGTTCGTAGGTCGTATGAGTCTTGTATATTGCATGCTAGTTGAATTGGTATCCCGTTGGCTTAGGTGAAAGAAGTATGAACCCCTTAGGACTATTCTTAGTATGTGAAGGATCACGCATAGGTTTTGTTATACGTTTTCCCCCCTTCCCAATGTGTTAATGTGGGTTGCATGTGCTTGCTATGTGTTATGTGTGCATGTTACCCTGATTTGGTTGAGATCAATCGGGCTATACGGGCAGTCGGGTGGGCTGAGAACCATACCGGCTGTTAACCAGGCTGGTAAAGACCGGTCAGGTATATAAATATTATATATGACTAAGGTCCACTATACGGGCAGTTGAATGGGTTGAGAACCATCCCAACTGTTAACCAGGCTGGTAGGGACCGGTCATGTATATAAATATCATATAGGACTAAGGTCCACTATACGGGCAGTTGAATGGGTTGAGAACCATCCCAACTGTTAACCAGGCTGGTAGAGAAGTTTATAAATCAAATTGCTGAGGGTTAATTTCTAAAATTTTGCAAATTGATTTTTCTGGTCTTTGTTTGTTTCCTTCCGTTTATTGCAGTACTCTTTTGCTTTAATTTTCAATTCCCAATTGTGAACACTTTTTATTTAATCAATTCCCAAATTCTAAGCTTAGTTGCTGTTTACTTTATTTATTAATTTTAATTACTGATCTTTGCTGAATTGTTTAATTTTAGGGACGCAATTTGTTTAACGTTAATATTTTGTATTAATTTCTTTAATTGGTTGGTGATATTAGATTTACAATGCAGAGTTAGAAATTGTTTCTAATTCATGTTCCGACTTTTTTTAATTTGATTGTTATTTGATTTTCTGATTCATATTGATTCTAATTTGTTTACTGTGCAATTTGATTCATTTTTCCTTCTTTCACTTTTTCAATAATTATTTAGATTTCAATTTAATAAAATATTGGGTTATATCTGTTTTTGTTTTCCCTATTCCCTTGATTTATTTTGTTTTCCTTTTCTTAGTAATTGTTTTTTCCCCCTTTACTTACCATTACCTAAAACAAAAAAATACTTAATATTGTTTCGTTTTCTCTACTTTCCTTCTTTCTTGATTATCTTATTTATTTATTTGTTTACTTATTTGAATTTATTTATTTCTTTCTTTATTTATCCTTGTTATTTTATTTATTTCTTTTATGCAGGGTCGTCGTTCTTTAAATCCTAAATTGTTACCTTTAGACGATCATATTAATAGGAAAAAAAAATATTACTTTTAGAAAATCCAATTTCTGAACCACAAGAAACTATCACAACCATGGATGCACTTCCTCCACCCAATCCCAATCCTAATCCTCCACCCAATCCCAATCCTAACCCCAACCCTAGTCTGATGAAAGACTTTGGTAGGCCCCAAGTAGGAAATTCACCTTCATGTATAGTGCTTACCAATGGAGGCAGAAATTATGAGCTAAAGACGGTCCACTATAGTCAATTGCCTTCTTTTCACGACTCGGCGACTGAGGATGCTCTTACCTTCATCCGGGATTTCTACGGGATAGTCCTAAACTTTCCATTGAATGACTTGACGGAGGATAAATTGAGAATGAGGTGTTTCCCGTACACCTTGAAAGATGCAGCAAGGACATGGTTCATGTCTCTCACACCGGGTTCACTTCGAACATGGCCGGAAGTCTACAATAAATTCATAGGGAAATTCTACTCTCATGCTAAAACTGCGGAGTTAAGATGGAAAATTGCAACTTTCTCGCAAGCTGAGAGCGAACCGTTCCATGAGGCATGGGAAAGGTTCAAGATGTTACTCATTCAATGCCCCCACCATGGTTACCCATTGGAGCTGCAAAACCAGACCTTCTATGATGGTCTGACCCAAACCTGTCAATCAATAGTTGATAATGCGGCTGGAGGTGCCATGGGAGAAAAAACTGCGGAGGAAACCTTAGCATTGTATGAAATGCTAAGAGAAAACTCCCAATAAAAAAGCATAAGGGGACGGACACCAGGTTTGTATGAAGTTAGCTCAAATCCTGAGTTGACGACTTATATGTCTGAGTTAACAAAACAAATGACAAGCATGTGTTCCATGATGAGTATGAACCAAAAGAATGCAGCTATGATGGAAGGAAATGACAATGTTGAGCAGGCTAATGCAATGAACAGTTTTAATCAAAGGCTAAGAAATGACCCATACTCTAATTCTTATAATCCGAGTTGGAAAAATCACCCAAATTTATCTTGGGGTAATAACCAAAATAATTTTCAACCAACTGCTCCGCCTCAACCAAAAAAACCATCTGTGGAGGATACTTTGCACAATTTTATACAGGTTTGCAATAAACGGCAAGAAGCTAGTGAGCAGCGATTTCAACAAGTTGAAGCTTCCATGAGAAAATTGGAAGTACAAGTGGGGAAAATCGCCGAATCTATGCAAGGCCACGTGCCAGGTAAGTTACCTAGTCAACCTGAAAAAGCTAAGGTTATGACTGTTTTAAGAAGTGGTAAAGTTATTGAAAATAATGCAAAAGCAAATACCACTTCTCGGCCAGCTGAAATAGTTGACAACTTGCATGTTGATGATGATGTTAATAAGGATGAACCCAAGTTGCATAAATCTGTTGACCCTTATGTGACCCCTAAGCCTTATGTTCCCCCAGTTCCATTTCCTGGTAGATTGAAAAATTCAAAGTTTGATAAATCATTTTCTGAAATTTATGATTTATTGTCAAAAGTGCATGTGAATTTGCCTTTGTTAGACATGATTAAAAATATGCCTGCCTATGCTAAGTTTTTGAAAGAACTGAACACTAGAAAGCGTAGGTATGAACATAACAAAAAAGTTTTCATGTCTAGAACTGTCAGTGTTGTTTTACAAACTGACTTGCCCCAAAATTAGAAGACCCCGGTAGTTTCATAATAACTATTACAGTGGGGAATTCTAAGGAAGAAAAGGCAATACTTGATTTAGGGGCGAGCATTAACTTGATGCCATATTATGTCTATTTGCAATTGGGTTTGGATAAATTGAAATCTACTACAATGTCCCTCGAGCTTGCTGATCGCTCTGTTTGATATCCTAGGGGCATTGTAGAAGATGTTCAGGTCCAAGTTGATAATTAATAATTCCTGCTGTAATTTTGCATATTCTCTTTTTAGATAGATTAACAGGATTAATCAACTGTCAGAGATTACTGATTGATTCAGTTTCGAAGTCAGTCAGTAATATTAAATCATGGAGAAGATGTAAGAGAAAGATAACAGCACAAACCCAACGACACAGAATATTTACCCAGTTCGATACAGTGTGTATCTATGTTTGGGGGACGATCACATAGGCGTCCAATCCACTAAATCACAATCCAATGTACAAAGGTAGATATACGATAATCTTACCCAAGTGCCCCACACAAGGTACATACCCAGTCTACACAGGTTTAGTGGATTGTTGAAGATGGAGAGCCATGCATACAGAAGTCCAATGAAATCCCTTCACTTGGAGAGCTCACTCTGATGCAGTCCACTTCAATGACGCTCTTTACAGTTGTTCCCACAACAGTGTGATCACAGTGTCCTTTCGTTTAAGCAGCAGTGATTCTTCTCAAGTTCATCATCTTAATCACCATGAACATATTGTATTGAGAAGATGCATGACAATCAAAGATCTAGTCTCATATAGCAGATAGGGAGTGTTTCTTCTTACTTTCGGCGTTACCCTAATTCTCTTCGAATAAGAGTACTTATAGATTCTTTAATAAACACTCTCCATAGACCACTTTGATTGTAGAAGGTAGGACTATAAAAGAGGAATGTAATCTCAGAAGTTTAGGTCCATACCTTTCTTAAAAATATAGGCTGATTGTAACACCCCGAAATTTTAAAACTTTTAAAGACTTATATAATAAAGGTATTCTCTTATTAAATCCCAAACAGAGCATTGATAAACATAAAGGTACGGGGTGCTATGCCACACCTGAGCTGGAGAACTCAGATGCACAGGCTAACTAACTAAATTCCGTAATAATGTAAATGGCACGCAGGCCGAAAGGGAAACTATCTACACTACGCCTCGAATCTCTAGCGCGCTCCAGTGATCTACTCGTCTGTGCCTGAAAGCCAAATATATCTGTTCAGCGAGAGATGCTGGTAACCCACTCCAACGCGTTGAAATACATTACATATAGAGATATATATAGATATACGAAAACCATTTTGAAGCTTGAAGATATATCCTACGAGACTCTAGCTTTTAAAACAGGGATAGACTCAACAGATAGGGCTAAGCATAGACAGCAGTTATACCAAGCATATACAGTTTACAACAGGCAAGACAGATAAGATAAGCACAGTTAATAATCATAACCCAACACATACGATCCCCGGTACAAATCCCATAGTCTCATCCACAAGATACTCATAACAACAACTCATCCATACTTCATCACATAGCACACTTTGTTGGCGCCACAGGACCAATCGCATGCCCATACATGAGGGTCAGCGCATATAGCTCTGACACGGCCCCGCAGCACCCTGCCCCATCTCACACTACGGAGGGGTCGATCGCAACCGACCGATGAGCCGCAGCTCTATATAATCTTTATATACCTGACCGGTCTTTACCAGCCTGGTTAACAGTTGGGATGGTTCTCAACCCATTCAACTGCCCGTATAGTGGACCTTAGTCCTATATAATATTTATATACCTGACCGGTCTCTACCAGCCTGGTTAACAGTTGGGATGGTTCTCAACCCATTCAACTGCCCGTATAGTGGATCTTAGTCCTATATAATATTTATATACCTGACTGGTCTCTACCAGCCTGGTTAACAGTTGGGATGGTTCTCAACCCATTCAACTGCCCGTATAGTGGACCTTAGTCCTATATAATATTTATATACCTGACCGGTCTCTACCAGCCTGGTTAACAGTTGGGATGGTTCTCAACCCATTCAACTGCCCGTATAGTGGACCTTAGTCCTTTATAATATTTATATACCTGACCGGTCTCTACCAGCCTGGTTAACAGCCGGTATGGTTCTCAGCCCACCCGACTGCCCGTATAGCCCGATTGATCTCGACCAAATCAGGGTAACATGCACACATAACACATAGCAAGCACATGCAACCCACATTATCACATTGGGAAGGGGGAGAAAACGTATAACACAACCTATGCGTGATCCTTCACATTCTAAGAATAGTCCTAAGGGGTTCATGCTTCTTTCACCTAGGTCAACGGGATACCAATTCAACTAGCATGCAATATATAAGACTCATACGACCTATGAACGGTACCCGAAAATCAAACTAGACATAGGCACGATAGACGGAGTCCGTTGGGACACCACGGGGGTCGGGGGAACATCAAACGGGGAAGCCAAGATCCCAAGGTGGGGTACTTTCCAGCGGGTAGCCGGTGGGTGAGGGTTCACCCGCCGGCATTCCTGTTCTGGGCAGCGGATGCCTGGCGGGCAGCTGCCCGCCCGCCGGCTGCCCGTTGCCGGAGCTGCCCTTTTTGGCCGCGGGTAGGTGGCGGGTCCCCTACCCCCACCTACCCCCCACTGACTCTTTTTCACCAAAAACGCCCCAGGAACCTTTGTGGAACCCGAAACCATGCTTAGACACTTCCAAACGCAATTGATAACACACGTAGACAATTAACGGATCAAAATCAAGAAACAAACGGCACATAACCTATCATGCTTTTCTAAACATAATCAACACCCAATCATGCGAATTCCCACCCAATATACCAAGAATAATACCATACGAATTCCACGATATAACCTAGGGTTCTAACTATTTTTAAATCAACAAGAACACAATTCATCTTTTAAAATCAAGATTCGGTAGGAATATCATATAAATATCAAGAACATCATATAATCATTAAGAACATCAAGTACACCATATAATCATCAAGAACGTCATATAATCATCAAGAACACCATAATTATCAAGAACCTCTAATCATCAAGATCACCCATGGAATCATCCCACCGATCATCAATAATAATACCACAAATCATCAATACACAATAATATGGGGAAATCCTAAGAGGGGAATCATAGCTATGAAAATAGGTTTTGTTGAGACATGGGTTACCTCTTAGCCTTAATTAATTCCTTGGCTATGAAGGGTCTTTCTTTAAGCCTTCTTCTTTCTTGATTTCTCCTAAGGGGATTCTTTGAACTTCTTGTGTGGTGAGAGATTATGGTGGTGAAAGATCTAGGTGCCTCCTATATCCCTATTTATATATTTAAGACTCCTAATTAGGGTCTGAATGGTATGGGTTTACTAATTCTATTCCTTATAGGACTACGGGCTTATTTTGGGGATAAGGGTCCATGGTCCATAGTGGACCATATTAATTAATTAAAGGGAATCCTAATCGTAGTCTGAATAGTAAAAGGCCTACTTCCTTTATTCCTAATAGATAACTAGGTCTAGGATTCCTAATTAAAATCTGAATAGTAAAGGGTTTACTTTCTTTATTCCTAATAGGCTTAGGACTCTAATTTAGGCAAGGGTCCACGGTTCATGGTGGACTTTATTAATTAATTAAAGGAAACCTAACCGAATTAAATCATATTTAATTATTATTATCGGGATTAATTAATTAATTAATCCGGGATTGAAGGCCGTAACACGGGGTGTTACACTGATCTTCTTTCCAAACTTGTCTGATAATACCGCGTATAGTCTTTTAGAAATCAGCTTCCTAAATCAGATCTTCAGTGTCAGTCCTTCTGTTGTTGCTTCTGATTGATCAGTCATTTGTAGAGCTGGACGGACAAACTCTAAACCTATCTTAGTATGCCATAATAATATTGCCAATTATAATATGGGGTTTTTGTACATTTAAAAATACTAACAAACTCCCCCTTTGGCTATTATTTGGCAAAACAACTCAACTATATAGATAGACAAAACATAACGATCTAAGATAGGTTATTATAAAGAAGCAACCCATGAGTCTGATCTGATTACAAAGAATTAAAGCAAAAACATAGGATCCAAAACAGTTTATGATCAACAGCAAGTAGTGGTGCCATAAAAAACAATGCCCAACCAGGGCCAGAAGGTACACAAACACAAAAAACTCCCCCTGAGTTCATACTACTCCCCCTTTTTGCCAATGATAGCCAAAGGTCAAGCATTGGAGGGAGTGTCACTGTCAGACTTCGCAGGATCAGCAGCAGCAGCAGATTCAGATAGGCTTAAACGAAGAAGAACGGTTGCTAGCTCAGTACGGGCCCCTGTCAGTTGCTTTGCAATTATGCCATGAACGGTCTCGAGCTCAGAGACTCTTGCCTTCAATTGGATAGAGAGTTGAAGATCTCGTGCATGCGGCGAGTTATCTCCCACTGTATCAGTCTCAGGATTGGAGGGTGCAGTCACCGGTGTAACATCACAAATATGATCTCCAATCAACAGACGCCGGTCGACCGTGTAGAGAAGGGTTGGACTGATCACCTCACTCGTCATAGGCTCAAGGCCCTGTAATGTAAGAATTCCAAAGATCAAATTTGGAAAGGGCAGTCGTACCTTTTGTTCTCTCGGGTGAATCAGAGTGAGAATATGAGAATAGATCCATGACCCAAGGTCAAATGACATCCTGGTTCCAATTTTGAATAAGAGACTGGCCAGTGGCTTGCCAACAGTGTGGAAATGTGCTGAAGGGAGCCAGTTATGTAGGGCAAGACGATGAAGAATCACATATTTTGAGGTGAGTTGAGAGCTAGGTAGAGTATCCTTATCACCAGTAGGCCATCTGTCAGCTTGTCCACCTGTGACTGTCTTGGCCACTGCATCCCAGTCAGTGATAGCCTCCTCTTGGACTCCTTGCAGGCCATAGTATTCGTTAATCATGTCAGGGCCAAACACATACCATTTCCCTCAAATGAAAATCTGCAGTGGATGCTCTCCAGACAAATTGTCCATCTCCTCATTGAGATTACAGTAAAATTCGTATGTGAGCAGCTTGGAATAAGGACAGATGGCAGCGACAGTCTTCAGAAGACCCACTTCTCTCAGCAAGGGCAGAACATCACAGACGAAATTCATCTGGTTTTCATCAACCGATCTTTGAACAATCAGTTCTCTTCGGACCATTGTGGACCACTTAGCTTGAGCAGAAGGAGAAACAAATTGAGGCCTGTAAATGGATGTGTCAGAGCTTTCAGCAGCTTGAGCCTCAGGTGTAATGCTCCGACCTCTGGCACGGGTAGCAGGTTTCACTTTTCTGGTGGAAGATGCGGGGACAACAGGTGGTTGAGCAGCAACAGAACCCTTTTGCTTAACAGAAGAGCGTAGAGTCTTGAAAACTTGTTGGATAGGTGGATTAGATTTGGATTTGACTGTTTCACTAGTCTTCCTTTTCTTCTTAGGCTGATCTGTGTCAGCATTGTCATCACCTGTCTTAGCAATAACTTTTACAGGAACATTCTTCCTCTTAGACCTTCTTGTTTCTTTGGTTGGGGATTGAACAGGAGTCACAGAATGACTGGAGTCAGATACTTGAGCAGAAGAGCCATCAAGCAGATTAGTAACCTCTCGTATTTTAAAATTTGTGGTGTCAGGATGAGCAGTGGCCTCAATGGTTGGAATGTCAGATGGAGGTGCTTGAGACCCATAAACTTCAGCCAGAATCTTATCATCTTCGCTGGAGGATTCAGATGGGTGAATCACTCGATACGGTTGAGGAATCGAAGCAGACGGTAGTCCAGCAAAATGTCGCACATGCTCCAGACTTTCACCTAACGATGTGGCAGTGTAGACTGGGATTCCACCTGTTTTCTCAGACTTATGGGAGCTTGAGAGGTCAACAGACTCAACATTAGCGGGTAACACAGAAGGATCATCAGCAGGGCAAAATTCTTTGGGATCAACAGCAATCTCAGCAGATGGCAGAACAATATTATCAGAAGAGAACACAATTAGACTCAGAGTATTGGGCTCATCAGATGATTTTTCTATTTCATCAGGCACATGCAATACATCATTTTTCACACAATCAGACTCACTTAACGGCAGGGATAAAGGATCAGCATTCACAGGGGGTTTCTCAGAGATCAAAGCAGTTAAATTTTCATTCTTAACAGGCACACAAGACGGAGTAGCAGAATCATCAGGTTTATCCGGTGAAATTTCAATAGGAGAATCAGAATTGTTTGACCTGTTTCGGAGGATCTCCAGTCTGTGTCTTGTCTCTTTTTCAGCAGCTTCGAGATACAAGGGCTGCGACTCTGCTTGCCGTCGAGAGACCTCAGCAGATTCTAGGGCTCGTTGTGCAAAATGTCGAAGAAATGCCCCGGTCCGATTTCCATCCGAGGGTTCTGGAATAGATATTGGAGACACCTCATCACTGGCTTCAGAAACCATCATCAGCAGTTCAGTTGCATCTTCTTCAGACCAATCAGCATAAAACTCTGGGTAGTTTGTCATAACAGTCACCAATATCTCATCACGAAGCAGAGGATCAAGCATGAGTTTCTTCTTCATGGCAAACTGTAATAGCGTCTGGGGATGCGCTTAAAAGCCACTTCTGGATAATGTGTCTTGCTTCCGGGTTTGATGATGATATTTCTTACTAGATCCGCCATTGGAGGTTTTTTGTGAGAGGAGAAGAACAAATTAAGGGAGGCAAGGATGCAGAGAGAGAGGAAGACTGAGTGCTGAGGTACTCGTAGATATTTCTCTTCTTGGCCAGATAACAAATAGACTTAAGGGTGATGAACCCTAATTAATGTGGCTAGTCAAAAAGAATGCAGACGCGATTGATTTGACCCAACGGTACATCTTCTTTTCAGGAAGGAAACGGACCCAAAGGAAATTTGAATTTCAAAAAGATTAAAATCTCTAAGATATATTTTAAGATATATTAGGTTATTGAATCCACTTAACATAATAGAGAGGAGTCTTAAAAAGGAAGACAAAACAAAATCATAATTCTGACCCGTATACGGAAAACTCCACTCCTCTCTGACTGACCAACTGCTTTATTAGTCAATTCTGCAAATTCCCGGAGCAGACCTGAGAATTTCAAAACGATTTGCATCTAGAGGCTTAGTCAGAATATCCGCCAGTTGTTTGTCAGTTTGAATATATTCCAATTCAATCTCCTTGGATTCAACCAGATCTCTGATGTAATGATGCCTGATATCAATATGCTTCGTTCTGGAATGTTGAACTGGATTCTTTGAAATATTAATAGCACTGAAATTGTCACAATAGAGTGTCATAATTCCTTGAGTAAGACCATAATCCAGCAACATCTGTTTCATCCATTCTAACTGAGTGCAACATCCACCTGCAGCTATGTATTCTGCCTCTGCGGTGCTTAGTGAGATTGAATTCTGTTTATTACTAAGCCATGATACTAAGTTCTTACCAACAAAGAAACATCCTCTGGAAGTACTCTTTCGATCATCAATATTACCTGCCCAATCAGCATCACAGTATGCAACAAGACTCAGTTCACTGTCCTTGGAGTACCAGAGGCCATACTGCATCGTTCCTTTAACATATTTCAGAATGCATTTTGCAGCTATCAGGTGTGATTCCTTTGGGTCAGATTGATACCTTGCACAGATTCCAACACTGAACATTATGTCTGGTCGACTGGCTGTTAGATACAACAGACTGCCTATCAAGCTGCGATAGACTGTGT